GCTGTTTGGAATTGGAACACAGTTCAAACAGGACTTTTCTAGAGGACTCAATCCACTCAAAGTCGAACGTGTTGGATGCGAGCAGCACAAGCTCTTCCTGGCACATAGTCTTGATTTTGACCACAAGAAAGTTTAAAAACTCATCCTCCACTATAAGCTTTCCATCAGTAGTGTTGTAGATCTGCGGTTTGGTTTGGGGACAACGAGAGAAGGGAGCTCCCGTGCCTGACTCCGCACCGTCCGCCATCTTGATTAATCTTTTTTAGACAAATTACTTGACTAATTACATTACAAATGGCTTTAGACTGCTTTGAAAGTATTTTTTTCTGGGAAAGAACACAACAAAGTTAGCTTATGCATTTGTATGTGAGATTTGCTTTATGTTTTGTAGATGATTTACATTTGCAAATATCAAAAATAGCATGCACAAAGACAAAAACCATACCTCCTTTTACAGCACAAATGCCATGCTGCATTTGCATCTAAATGTGCATCCATAAATCTGTGCATCCATTTAAACTACCGTAGTTTTCATTTTATGCAACGCAGAAAACTTCTTGCAAAAATAGCGTAGTGTCGTAAAAAATAAAATGCGAAACATCTTCACTTGTGTAGCTATGTAAAAATGACTCAAATTGTACTATACGAGTTCAGAATTGTCTCTAATAATTGCACACAGGCAGATTTGTAGTAAGTAATTGAAAGTCTTTTTAATTTTCTCTTATTGCTGATAAATTGCATGTTTTCGGTCTCAGCTTAACAACATTTTACATTTATTCCAGTTTGTTGTCTTTATACATGGTAATTATTTTTACTAGTTCTGTTATACATGACATGAGTGGTCTTTTTTTTTTTTGGTGTCACACAGGGCAACAGCTACCCACCAATGTCTGATCCCTACATGCCCAGTTACTATGCTCCATCCATTGGCTTTCCTTATGCTCTGGGAGAGGCTGCTTGGTCCACAGGAGGAGACCCACCAATGCCCTACCTTGCCACCTATGGACAGATGAGCAATGGCGAGCCTCATTTTATCCCTGATGGTGTTTTCAGCCAGCCAGGTGCCCTGGGAAACACCCCTCCCTTCCTCAGTCAGCATGGCTTCAATTTCTTTCCCAGTAGTGCGGACCTTTCAACTTGGGGTACCAGCGTCTCTCAGGGTCAGTCAACGCAGAGCTCAGTCTACAGTAACAGCTACGGCTACGCTCCTAGCTCTCTGGGCAGGGCAATCACAGATGGACAGGCGGGCTTTGGAAGCGACACCCAGCACAGTAAGGTCCCGATGCTGAGCAGCATTGAGCAGGGTATGACGGGGCTAAAACTGGGTATGGACATGATGGCAGCTGTCACCAAAACCGTGGGCTCACCCTTAGGAGGCACGGCAGGTATGAGCAGTACGGCGGCCAGTAATCTCCCTCTGCCCGTCAACTCGTCTGTGCCAAAACCTGCCACCTGGGCAGCCATCGCCAAGAAGCCGGCCAAACTCCAGCCGAAGGTCAAACCCAAAGCCAACATGGGGATGGGGGGACCTGCCACCATCCCCCCACCCCCAATAAAGCACAACATGAACATTGGTACGTGGGACGATAAGGGCTCTTTAAACAAACCCACATTAGCTCAGACAATGATGCCCCCACAACCTCTGATGCAGCAGCCTCTCTTAGCTCAACCCCAAGCCCTATTGCAGAACCCTTTACCCCATCAGCCCCCACACCAGCCCCAGCATCAACATCAGCCCTTCCAACTGCAGTCCCTCCACTCCCCTCAACACCCCCAGCCCCTGCCTCCTGGCCCCCCACACCTACACCTCTCCTCTCAACCTGGCCTCCCACAGCCTTTTCATCAGCAACAACCCCAGCAGCCTGGCCCACCCCCAAATCGTTGGATTGCTCCCAGGAACCGGGGCGAGGGCTTTGGTCTTAGTGGCGGAGTTCCACTGAGTGCCTCCCCATGCTCTGGAGAAGTTCACCCTGTGTTGGAGAAGCTCCGTGCCCTCAACAACTACAATCCCAAAGACTTTGACTGGAGCTTGAAAAATGGACGTGTTTTCATTATCAAGAGTTACTCAGAAGATGACATCCACCGCTCAATCAAGTACTCCATCTGGTGCAGTACAGAACATGGCAACAAGCGCCTGGATAGTGCGTACCGTTCATTAGGCAATAAAGGGCCCTTGTACCTATTGTTCAGCGTCAACGGCAGTGGGCATTTCTGCGGCGTGGCCGAGATGCGCTCACCGGTGGACTACAATGCCTACGCAGGCGTCTGGTCTCAGGACAAATGGAAGGGCAAGTTCGAAGTGAAGTGGATTTTTATCAAAGACGTGCCCAACAACCAACTGCGTCACATCCGGCTGGAGAACAATGACAACAAGCCAGTGACCAACTCCAGGGACACTCAGGAAGTGCCTCTGGAGAAGGCCAAACAAGTGCTTAAAGTTATCGCCACATACAAGCATACCACCTCAATATTTGATGACTTTGCACATTATGAGAAACGTCAGGAAGAGGAGGAGGCTCTGAGGAAGGTGAGATGAATTTTCTTATAAAGAGTCAGTTGCACCTAAAACCCTTTACAGTATAGTTCATATATTTCAAAAAGTTCTGTGGTCAGGTTATGAAGAATAAATAATATCTTACTTTTCACAAGTGGCTCTTTGAACCACGTCAGTTTAATTCTGACCAGCTTGATTAGCTAATAGTTGGACAGTGCCTGGAGCAAAGTGCAAATGTCTTCAAACAACTTGCAACAAAACACTTTTTTTGTGATTTAACAAATAGGCCTGTCACAATAAACAATAAATCAGTTAATCACATAATAAATGAAAATTATCGACCTCATTTTCATTTATCGGCTTTATCGTTTTTCGTGTCTTTCTTCTGACGACAAGGCTCAACTTCGGTGCGCTTCACTGACCTCCCCCCCTTACTCTTTTCTGTTTAAAATTTGTTTTTAACGATCCAAAATCACGTTTTTGGATCGTTAAAAGCAGCTAAGCTACGTACTAAGCTAAAAGGCCGACCTCGGGCAAAAACCTCTTGTCAAAGCCCCAAAATTCACGGTTGAAACTCGTGCCTTTGTGTATAAAGTTGTTTTTCTCTGCACAAAGAAGCTGAGAAATTGTTTGATTTTTTTAATTAAAAGCTTTGTGTGAAAAATGCTATGCTAAAGTGCTCAAACCACACCGAGGGTCCTCCATTTTGAGAACCGAAAAACAAGAACGAGAGACAGCTCATGTTACAAGGGGTCTCCCTCCCATTTTTCTTAAAGAGACACGCTGCTCGCTCCCTCACTAGCCATCCTTCGGTTCACACAGTCTTATACTGCCATCCAGTGGTCAAAAAAGGCACTACACCCAAACATTAACCAACATTTTTTCGTAAATTTAACAGTGACTAATTATTGTCAAATTTCAACCAATATTATTGTTTATCGCAATAATTTTTGAGACAATTAATTGCCCAGCAAAATTTGTTATTGTGACAGGCCTATTAACAAATATTTTGTCCTCGTCCGTTTTACATTAGATGATTACTTAAGCAGAAATATGATAATTTGGTTGAAAGTGTCTCAGACTACATCAAAAGTGTACCGGTTTGTGCTTACATGTAATCATAGAAGTCTGTATAAATAACTCTGTACGGTAATGCTAAATTGTTGGCAACGTAAAGGTTTATTAAAAAGTGTTCACGTGACTCATGAAATTAGTGAGACAAAATGTCATTTTTGTTCTTGTTAATACCGCTCAAACTTGCCATTAGCTCGTCAATCACATCAAAATGAAATCTTTATTTCTCCAAACGGGCTTTTCCAAACGCTCTCTTTAACAGGTAATATATTATTTGTTCATAATTTTTTCCCAAAACCCCACGTTCAAAGATCTGAACTATTTAGTTCAAAGCAAGGCCAAGTTTTAGTGAATTTCTGCTGCAGGCTGTTGTCATAGAGTAAAAAGCTGATCTTGTTCCACATGCTCTGAGGCTGTAACGTCCCGTGGCTGCATCAGAGCTGCAGCACGGTAAACCAAGTTTCCTGAGGCCCGTCAGCAGATTGATGTGCTGTCATTACTCATAAGCAGGTTCAGGGAACTCTTGAGTTTGCAGCAACCATTCTGTTACGGTAAGACTGCAAAGAATTGCCCAAGTGGAGTGACATGGCTATTGGGTTTCCTGAAATAGCCCACATTCTTGGCATTCCCTTTCCCAGACAAAGGCAGATGTAAGCCCCGATCTGCCTTTGAATACCAACCGTCCATGCTTTCCAGTGGCCCCTCATGCTTTGCTAGTCTTTAACAACATAAGCCTTTAAAATGGTTGAAATGTGCCTCTGCACATCCCAACAATTTTCAGTCAGGTCATCTGGACAGTTTCTTTTTTTTGCTGAAATGTTTCACCTTCCATCCAGAAGGCTTCATCAGTCAAGGAAACGCACAACACAAAACTGATTCTTCCCCCAAACGGCTTACTCCAAAGTGGAACAAACCAGTTATGTTGGTGCTAAGATGGTGTCACAGTTGTTTTTGTCAACAAAATTCATGATACAGGCGTTTCATTAATTTGAAATGTACACTTTTTAATCCCATCAGAAGGGAAACTAGACCATGGTGCAGTGATATTAATTATGTTGTAAAACAAATGTTAGTCTGGCCTAAAAATCTCAGTGGGCTGTTGTAGCTGTAGAGAAACTGAAGAGCAAATTGTAATATCACTGCTAGCATTCTGCAGCATTCATTCTCAGTATGCTAATTTCATCAATAAAACCCACATGACCCATTCACCGTTTTTTTTCTTTTTCTTTCTCCCACTCCCAAACTGCTGCCGCTCCACTGATGTTGTATTGACTCCTCGCTGCTGACCTTGTTAATATGCACTGGGTTTCTTTCTCATAAATATTTCAAGTCAGTGTTTTCAGGCTTCTGAAAACAAACTGTCAGTAGAAAGCCAGTTTCATTCTGCGTCACGCAGGCGTTGAGCCGTGCCGCTTTTGTATCCCCGACCTCCTACATGACGGGATCAGTTCGGCCGAGGCCTCGCCCTTCTTCACCTGACAAGGTGAATTGTTGTCTATTGTTCGGTCTGTCCTTCCAGAGCTTTGAGAGGCATCAAACCAACAGAGCTGCCTACACAATAACACCTTCCCAAAGTGCTTCATGGAAAAATATTTTGATATCCAAACATTTTGATCATGTTACATAAACATGAATTATTTATTTAATCAAATGGATTTACTGTAATATGATCGTTTTCACTAATGTGCACTGTCTGGTTGAATCATAGTTTTCTGCTAAATATTGATATGTTTTGTTGTTGCTTGAACGCCCCATCCCCAACCCAGCAAATTAACATAATTCATCGTAAATGGTGCACTACAAGTCACACGTTAAACACAAATTTGATTAAAATTAGGGGTGCACTGATAAATCGGCCGGCCAATTCATCAGCCCCGATTTCCTTAATTTTGGGAAATTTGAAATCGGCGGATACTTGTATGAGAAACCGATTTTTTTTTTTTTTTTTTTTACAACAATTGTCCGAACTTCCTTTATATTTCAGAGCACTACCTCATGGCTAGTTAAAATAAGTTTGTATTGTTTCTGTTATAACTCCTGACGGTGTCGCTTCTGAAACAAAATCGGTATCGGCCAAAATTGGAATTGGCAGGTCAGACTTTTTAGAAATTGGTGATCGGGCAAAAAACTGCCATCGGTGCACCCCTAATTCAAATCCAACATTGACCTAGACTTAATCGGGAATAAAAACCAATATTTTTATTTATTGTTTTTAATTTTTAATTTTATTTTTTCCATTTACCCTTTATTTATACAGGAAGTCTCATTGAGCCACGAGAACCCATTTTCAAGAGAGACCTGTTTAGGGAGCAGATGAGGGTTAAGGGCCTTGCTCATGGGCCCAGAGTGGGGCAAATGAGGGTGGGGGCTTAACCTACCCCACCCACATTTTTGAAGTTGTCGGTACCGGGGCTTGAACCGGCGATCTTCCAATCAAAGGCCCATGTTCTCTAACCTCTGCGCAACCACTCCCCACATATGTATCTGTCTGTCTGTCTGTCTGTATATATAATATAGGATATGAATATATGTATAGAATATATATATATATATATATATAGAATATATATATATATATATAAAGAATATGTAGAATATGAATATATGTGTGTGTGTGTATATATATTTATATTTTCCATTTTCCATGAATAATTTGCTTTTGTGTTTTTATTTCCAAAACTTTTGGCTTTCTTTTAATTCATCATCCACTGCATTCCCCTTTTTGTAATCTACATCAAACCGTTGAGCAAACAAACCATTGTCTGACTGAGATAACTGCAAGCCGAAGGTAGTGACTGCAGTCTCATGGCAGTGCAAACAAAGCTGTTTGTTTGGTTAGTGCATTCTTCACGACCTTAAAACTCATTTTCTCTGTTTTCATACCTATTGCTTGCTGTCTTACCTTTTTGTAAAATTAAAAGAAAAGGTTCCAAGTATTCCTACCTTGCTAAGTGATAAATATTTTAATCCGAAGACTAGAAATGAAAACAATATACCTAACAAAGGCAAAATATACAATTCTAATCTTGAGTGTTTTTTTCATTTAAGGAGCCTTATCTAGAGAAGGAAAGGTTCATGTAGGTTGAAACTTTTTTTTTTTTTTGTAAGATTTTCTGTAAATTACTGACCATGACTTTTTATCTTTTAGGAGTGTTTGTGATGTTTTTGTGTGAAGTTGGAGTTATGGATCAAAACATCATGGGGTATTTTGTTCAAGCTTTAAACCAGCACCTTCCATCAAGAACAGGAAGCTACACTACACTGAAACTGCTGTACAGGTCTCTAAATCCAAACACAAGAAGAATTTTTAGAGAAAACGTTGCTCTTGATTTCTTAAGGGGCACTCATTTTAAATGTTGGAAGTGATATTCTTTTAACTGAGCCACTGAGCTCACTAATTAGGCCTGTCACGATAAAATATAAATCAGTTAATCGCATGATAAATGAAAATTATCTGCCTCATTTTCATTTATCTGCTTTATTGTTTCTTCTCTTCTCTTCTTCTCTCCGCTAAAAGCAGCTAAGCTGAGAAGCTAAGCTACGAGCTAAGCTAACAGGCCGACCTCTGGAAAAAACCTCCGTCTTGTCGAAGCTCCAAAATTTACGGTTGAACCTCGCGCCTTTGTGTAAAAAGTTTTCTCTGCTAAAAGAAGCTGAGAACTTGTTTACTGATTTTTAGTTTTTTTTTAATTAAAAGCTTTGTGTGAAAAATGCTACGCTAAAGAGCTCAAACCGCACCGACCGTCCGCCATTTTGAGGACCGAAGAGAGACAGCCCATGTCACGTCAGGGAGACTCCCTCCCATTTTTCTTAAATCATGCTCGCTCCCTCACTATCCATCCTTCGGTTCAGTCTTATCCTGTGGTCAATAAAGGTACTACATGCAAAATAAATTGACCAACATTTCTTCTTAAATTTGACAATAATGACTAATTAATTATTGTCAAATTTCAAACAATATTATGGTTTATCGCAATAATTTCTGAGATAATTAATCGCCCAGCAAAATTTATCGTGACAGGCCTACTAATATTTTTGTTCCTTTCGGCCCCAAAAAAACAGCTTTCAACCAACAAGTAGCTTAATGAGTACCGTATAAGTTTTTATTTATACTTGGAGAGAACTTTAAAATGAACTGAATCAGTCAAGGAAACAGCAATTGATGCGTCTAATACTGGTGGTGTTGCAGACCAGAGTTCGTTCTGTTTGGTGATAACGCCACAGAGTTTGGTGGCTGGTTTGCGGTGGTGGGCACAGTTCTGCTAATCCGCCAACGGCTAATAGTGAAACTAATTTTTCATTTAACAGACTAGTGTTTTCGCTAATTTCAAAAACTGTTAGCAGAATTAGCTTCTGTAAAAGTAGGCTTCACCAACTTTTAAGTTTGCTAACAAAATTCACAAGGTTGTTCCTGTCTGTTGTGGGCGTGTCTTGAAGAGTCTGTCAGGCACGCTATTGGCTTACTGCATGTACACATGACAAGTTGTGATTGGTCGATGCAGCTTTTACTGGGAGGAGACCGAGACTTGTAACGCAAACTGAATGGCAGTCGTCTTAGTGGTTAGCGTTAACTTCCGCCTAATATTATTTTTTTGTTAACGTAATATGCGTTAGCAAGGCGAACGTTTTGTTTAGCTGTGCCCACCACTGCTGGTATGTGTTAGTAAAACCCAAACAAAAGTGGGGCCAAATGTTTTGAATCATGGCTTTTCTCTAAAACGATGAGCTATTTAGTTCGCGCTACTTGTCAGTGGTTTTAACTTTGTTGCTTATGAACATATTAGGACTGCACAACATATCGAAAATCAGTAATCTCTATCAGTATCACAAAGGACTGCATTACATCATAGGCCAGGGCTATTCAACTGGCGGCCCGCGGGCCGTAAGTGACTTCAGTCCGGCCCACTTCAT